GGAAATTGATAATCAGATGATCAAACTGATTATCAATTTCCCGTTTGTAATAGAAAATGACTGAAAAACGGCAAACTTCGCAAGGCTATATTATCCGCATTTTAGAACATTTCGCAACGAAACTTTGGAATATTACTAATTTTGTGATGCTCTTTCAAGCTGTGATGAAATTTTTGTCTAGACTTGTTGAGATCAAAATTTAGTCTATTACGCAAGTGGTCAAATACGTAAAGCAAGATGGATGGATGGATAGATAGATAGATAGATAGATAGATAGATAGATAGATAGATAGATAGATAGATAGATAGATAGATAGATAGATAGATAGATAGATATAGATAGATAGATAGATATAGATAGATAGATAGATAGATAGATAGAGAAACTTTATTTAAACACACTGACCCCGTCAACCGAAGCTGATTTCCACGAAGGACGTGCGTTTGATGTAATATTATCGGTCACTGAAAAGCCCCATTGGGAAGTGAGCTGAATAATATATGTATGTGTGTGTGAAGGGTGCTTCCAGTTTGACCCAAACACTACAAGGTTTTTACCCCACACAGTGGGTCAATAAGCTTATTGGAGTTATCCAGTGTGAATAAAGTTAGTTCAGTTTTAGATTTTCAGATTTTGGCAACATGTTATCTTCATGATGTTTGTGATGTTACTCTGAGTGTATATCCACACTGGGCAAGCTTGAAAAATATGCCTGGCCACTGTGGGAATAGAACCTACTGCCTTTGGAATACTAGCCCAATGCTCTGCCAACTGAGCTACGCGGTCAGGTTGCATTGGGCTAGTATTCCAAAGGTAGTAGGTTCGATTCGCACCGTGGTCAGGCATATTTTTCAAGCTTGCCCGGTGTGGATATACACTCAGAGTAACATCACAAGCATCATATTCACCTGAGTACATTACATCAACACAGAAAAAATCATGATTATTAGATTACATTGATATCGAAGGAACTAGATTCGGTTTCTAAATATCACATACTCGAACCGACCTGACCGCGTAGCTCAGTTGGCAGAGCATTGGGCTAGTATTCCAAAGGTAGTAAGTTCGATTCCCACCTTGGCCAGGCATATTTTTCAAGCTTGCCCGGTGTGGATATACACTCAGAGTAACCAGGGTTTATTTTAAGAAAAATTTAGAACTGCACATATAGGGATGTTACGAAGGCAACGGGTGTTTGACTGGAGGGGGGTCGAAGGATTTTTACTTGCATATAGGTGACAGAATAATGGTGTGGTTGGGTGGGCGAATTGGAGAAAGGCCAGACAAACTCGATTTTGGGTGCGGCAGCAAGGGGGTGTTCCCCCAAATAATTTGAATCTAGAGGCTCTCTAGGTTTTACCCAACCACTCACAAAAACTGTTTCAAAACATGTAACTGAGAATCATGGATACTCACTAGTCAATATATAACAACCTTCAATTTGCATTTGAGGCAGCAAAGAATATTAGGTTCTAATATTTAGCTTCTTTTCCATTACCCCAGCACGTAAGTGATTTGTGAGGAAAATAGGAGGGTCTGGAGTCCTCTCCCAGAAAACGTTTATATTTTTGATGCTCAATTAATGACAGCATTTCTGGAATTTTCTGGAGCATCCATAAGGGTAACGAGTAAATGAGAAGACTGTTTTAATTAAGGCTATTTTTGTTAGTTTGGTGACTGCACATTTGTGTTTTAAGAACTGCACAAATGAGTTTAGAACTGCACATTTTGTGTAGAACTGCACGTTAAAATAAACCCTGAGAGTAACATCACAAGCATCATATTCACCTGAGTACATTACACCAACACAGAAAAATAATGTTATCTTCATTTCTAGATGGATGAGGAAACGACAAAATTGCGAACTCTGCGTAAAGAACGAGAACGTGAGTTAACTAATCGTCACACGCGAGAACTCGAGGAATTTGACGTCATTGAGGATGGGGGAAGCACATCAGGACCGTGGAAACACCGTACATCAAGTCAGAAGTCTGGCCAGGAGACGAACAATGGAACTGCCGTAAATGGTCGTAAGTCTACGTCGTCACCTACAGGAAGTACTGCGAGGTGATTGTACTTCATGTAGGTAAAATTATTGGGAACGTGTTTGTATATAGACGAATTGATCAAATGAGTATGTGAAGTAATTCGATGAAATGAACATTAGCTGATGAAGCAAACGGTGTTCTTCACCTCTTCTAAGCGATTGTAAATTCGATGAAAATTAATAATTCGATTAATTAGATGAGCAATCAAGAGTCTCAGAACATCTCACCAAAGCTCGCTTTGTTATTACAGAGATTCCTGATATGATAGCTCTAGCTGTCATTAAAGAAGCCACAAATATGAAATGGACGAAATACTTCGCAACTGTGTAAATTTTGATCTCCTGTGAGAGATATTATATTTTTTCTTAACTATATAAGATACTAATATATATACTGTTAGGATCTCGATAACTGTGAGTTGTATTTTTACCCTCAGACTTTTTTAAATAGAAAAGTTCGAATTTATGTCATGTGCTTGTTAAATATGCAGCCTGAAAACTCTTCAACTAACAAGAAAAATCGTAAAATACTAAAACGTGTGTGTGTTGTGTCGTGGCCTTTGGGAAGTACCTGAGTTTGATTGGTTTCAATAATAATTCCGTATGTTTTAGATAGCGAGAATAGATGGAGAAAAGAATCAGTTAAGTATTTTAACAAAAATATATTATTGGATGAGGCCTAGCATGATATCAAGAATGGACCTTTCCCTTATAACTAAAATTTCGATCTGCACAAAAATTTCATCACAGCTTGAAAGAGCATCACAAAATTAGTAATATTCCAAAGTTTTGTTGCAAAATCTTGTAAAATGCGGATAATATAGCCTTGCGACGTTTGCCGTTTTTCAGTCAATTTGTATTACAAACGGGAAATTGACATCCGATTCGGGTGTTGGGGCTGCAATTTCCCGTTTGTAATGCAAAGTGACTGAAAATTGCAAACTTCGCAAGGCTATATTTTACTCGTTTTACAACATTTCGCTACGAAACGTTGGAATATTACTAATGTTGTGATGCTCTTTCAAGCTGTGATAAAATATTTGTCTAGACTTGCCTAGATCAAAATTATGGGTTATAGGGGGAAAGGTCTATTGTTCAAACCGAGGTCAATCAAAAATTCAAAAAAGTTAACAAAAGTAAAAAAAAGTTAGATTTTCAAAAAAGTTACAAAAAGTTAGGTTGGGGGTTAACTTAGTGTTAGGGATTAGTGTTAGGGGTTAGGTGCCGCGAATTTATCATATTGATAAATTCGGACGTGTTTAACAATTTACTCGTATAGTAAATTCAAAGGTGGAGTTCATGCTGGAACGAGAATACATAGTAAATGTATAATAATTTGTGTTGTTGTATTGTTTTGGGAAAGCTATGGGTTGGTGGGAAAATTAGAAGGAGAGGAATTTCGAGCCATTCGTCAGGAAGTTAGCAGGGAGGTTGTATTGTTTTGTATGCTGCCATAAAAAGAAGGTTGGCAAACTTGATGACATAGTTTGTTCACTCGACAATTTATATTGTGTTTTTCTTTGTTCTGTGTTAAAAAGACTCGATCTCTTCCTAAAGGTTGTGACACCGCTTCCTGCTGCAAATATCATCGAGTGAGTGCCAGGACAGGAGATCCCTCCCCCGTAGTTTCCTCGTGATGAACAGACAAAGGTTTCAAATAATTTCAGTTGGAGAACAGGGTAAGAGTATGGAAAACTGAGGTAAGGGCTTACTCAATCTCGTACACCCTGGGTACGACGTTGGGGGTTACTACATTTCGGCCAGAAATTGCCATTGAGTAATTTTAAAGGGAACAAAACAATACTCAATAGACACTCCGAAAATAGTTAACATTTTACAGTAATCAACGTTTCGACTAGGTTTCGGTTATTATCAGGAATGATGATGACTGAAACCTAGTTGAAACGTTGATGTTAACTATTTTCGGAGTAGAACAATAGACAATATGGGAACCACTGAGTATTTTAATAAAATATAAAACAACGGTAACTCCGAAAATAAACATTTTAATATCCTAGGGACCTAGCTTTCGACTAAGATTCAGTCATCAGGAATAATAATATAGGATTCCTGATGCAGATGACTGCATCTTAGTCGAAAGCTAGAATATTAAAATGTTTATTTTCGGAGTTACCGTTGTTTTATATCACAATAGACATTGTTTTGTTCTTTTTAAAGTTACTAAGTTTCTCAATTGGGGTAACAGATTAGGGTTAGGTTTCACAAAGGTCGAACGTTTGCCGGTAAGAATAAATGCTTGTTTACACTATCAAAGTTTCTGTGATCACAGTAGGAATTGTGCATTGTTTGAGGGAAATGACTCGGCTAGTGAGTAGTGTTACGAATCCTTCAAAACTTAGAATGTGCCTCCGTAAAATTCCTACTACTGTAATCACATAAACCTTCATAAACCTTAATCGAAAGTAGTCGTCATTGAAATAAATATGCCGGCAATGTATTGAATGTGCTTAGCAAAGCTTTTAAAGGATTAAAATTCCGGGCAGCTGACTGAAGTTGTCCAGAACAGACATACCTATTTACAAACAATATGCAATATAGTCTCCCTCACAGCCGCGAACAGGCTGCGAGGGAGACTATATGCAATACAGTCAAACAATTTTTTTTTATTTTTATTTTTTACCCAATTACATAACAATAAGAAGCGGAATTAAATATTTACAATATTTGGGCTAGGAGCCTACTAGAAACCAAAAGGCTTTTGTTTTGGCTTTTGTTTTGCCAAAATACCTTGTCAGGTTTGAGAGAATAGACCAGAGGAATTTATGAAATACGTGACCAGTGAACAGGTAAGTTTCACGTCGGGAAACACAAATGTTTCACCATTAATATCACCAAGCACTACTGCACAGCAGAAGGTGGTCATTTCTGAACCATCTGCCGCCCCGTTGCGAACTTTCCGACGAGGCATTGCATGTAGGACGGCAACACGGCAACGACGGCCAAAACAAATAAATGATAGTAAAGAAAACTTGTCGTATTAGTCTCGTATATTATAATTCGTATGAACTTAATACAGTATAAGAAGTTGAAAACATTGGCTTTATGTTTGGGAAGAGTTCTACTGAACCGAATTTTAAGTTGCACTTGTTACGGCTTGAAATGCAGGCGTTGTATAAAAGACGTGAAAATCTGTGATTTGCCGTTGTAAACAGAGGAGGGTGTTGATGGGGTATATCGTGAGTCGTGATTCACTCAATTTCGGCTACCGTCAGTCGTGAAAACACTAAAAATTTAGCGTGAAGCGTGAGGAAAAACATACTGTTTATCGTTTCAGAACACTTTTCAAAGATTTACCGTTAAACTGACCAAAATGTTACTTATTGTTACCGTTAAAATACCGATACTGATTTTCAGACCCCCCCATCTAGACCCTCACAGAGCGACGACTACGTCTGAAACTCCCCTGGAACTTTAATTATTTGTTTCTTTTCATTGACTCATTGTATAGGTTGCCGTCGTCGTCGTGTTGCCGTCCGACATACTTAAGCTCCCTATTATTATGCAAAGGCCACGACGCGTCACGATTCTTGCATAATAATAATACCGTGTTTGCTGTCACTTCCGTTGATAATTGCTTGTTGTTCACACACGTCGGAGTTTCGAAATATATCTTAAACGTTTCAATCTTGTCACAGGTCTTCGAGTGTTTACCACTGACGAGAACATCAAGCTGGCTTGATATTAATTGTTCTGTGGTATTTGGAATTTAGTTGATCGTTCGTTGGAATTTGGTGTCGTGCTCATGACCGTCGAACTGGTGCTGGAATGTGTTAGTTAGAAGAAAGAGATCTAGGAAGACACTTGTATACATGGCAAACATGAATGATCAACCTATCAAAGAAATTAAAGTGATCGGTGTCGAGAAGCCACAGAAGGGAAAATTTCAAGAGCATTTTGTAAGTTATATCATTTGTCACTGTTGACTCTTATGACTAGGTTATATTTCAGTTTTGCCCTTTGTTAAACCCGAGGTTATTCCTGATCATCATATACGAATATCAGGGTGGCTTGTACTCTTTATCTAATTTTCTATATAGTATTGTCGTTCTTACCCTGTTCTATATATAACGATATTATTTCTATATTACCCCGTGTTAAGAGATGATGTGATCAGAGTGATGTGCTAAACTTTTACAATGTAGCGTTCGTCTGTGTTATTTTTCTATTACCCTGTGTTAACGATGGTGTATTTCTTATATTAACTTAATAAGTCTTTCTGTATATCACCCAGGAGTATGTGATTCGAGTGACTTACGAGAATGGACATGAACATCTTATATTTCGACGATACAGCATGCTGTTTCACTTTCATGTAAGTATCAAATAACATACCCCTAGTTATTATTCAGTGTAAGTATCAAATATATGCCCCAGTTATTATTCAGTGCCTGTCAATAGTCAACGTGATGTTGTGTGATGTATATTTGAAGACTTTTAAAACCCAAAACTGTTGCAAAAAGCGAGCATTCACCATATGATTCTCGTCACAAAATTGTGTCAAAATACAAAACAAACACGAGATTCTGTGTAAGTCAAAACGTCTATAAACGTAATTGTCACTAATACTCGGGATTAAGCTACGATAATACTATTACATGGTATTTCAGCAAGCATTGCAACATCGCTCTATCATATTCTGTTTTTTCGTCTGATATTTCATATTTGTACTACGAATGTATGGTCTGTTGAATTTATTATATGACGTTACACTGATTGATGGTAGATTAGTTAATAATGTATCAAATAATGACTAGATTTGTTACAAGTCGTATCATTTAGCTGCATGCTTGAATACAGATTTTTTTTCTCTCTCTCTCTCTCTACGTTCACGAGTTTTCGCTCGTTTTACACCTTACAAATGTTACAATGCGAGTTGCGTTACGACATGTAGAGTGTTCAGAATACGGTTGAACGAATATATTACAAGAAGAACTTCGACATTTCAACCAAAGCCAAGGCCCTTCGTCAGAAAGTGAGTGGCCACCAGTGGTGGCTCGGCATTTTTCAGAAAGTTACATCAAGACCTATTGACCCTCGGTTGGACGTTTCCAGCGAAATTTTTTGAAAATTTCGTCGAAATTCGTGAAATACGTCGAAATTTTCTTCGTATTTATGAGGTATGCCAGCGCTCTTATGTCATAATGAATTCTTTTTTCGTTTGTAGTCTGTGCTGAAGGAGGTCGTCAAAGGGAATTATAGCAGCGTGATCATACTTCCTGAATTGCCTGGTAAGGGGAAATATGGCAACATTTATTTTGCTTCACTCCTTCACCACGTGTGTTAGAAGTAATATGCAATTCCATTATAGATTAATTTTACAACTAGGCAAGGAGATGCAAATAAATCACCACAGCTCGAAAGAGCACACTAAAATTAGTAAAATTGCAAAGTTTGGTTAAGAAATGTTGTAAAATGCAGAAAATATAGCCTTGCAAAGTTTGCAAATTATATATACTTTTGTATTGCGTGAGGAAATTGCTACCATTTTCGGGCCAAATGTACAAAATTTGCGAACTTTGCAAGCCTATACTTTCCGCATTTTACAACATTTTGCAACCAAACTTTGCAATTTTACTAATTTTATTATGCTCTTTCCGGGAATATACTTTTTTGCCAAGATAAAAAGTTAGTCTATATAGACTATAATGAGAATTGTCTGTTGCAATAAAATGCTGCAACAAACAAAAACTGATTTCAAGTCGTGCTAATAAAAAAATGTTCGTGCATAAGTTAGCGTTATCTGCATGCTTTAGTCGTTTTCATTTCTGTATTTTTTACGCTGTTTTGTTGTGTTTTATGGTAGTAATTGCTAGTCATACATACGTTTGACGTATGTGGTTTAATGAAAACAATAGCATGCGGTGGGAATCGTATTTGTTTGAAACGAAAACATCACAGAGTTTGTTATGCGGGTTCCACATCATTTGGCATCCGAACTTCCGGATCGAAACTAAATTCTAGTGCAAAATTATTTAAATAAAAAGTCAATAATGACATTTCTCGTCAAAGAAGTTCTTTGCATTGAAATTGATTATGGCCCTTAGTATGTCAGTCACGCGTTCCAGTGGCAGTGAGAACGCGATAGATTTTGGTTCAGTCTTCAAACAGTTGGTGTTGGTTTATCCGGTGAACTTAGACAACAGAAATAATAATAATAATTTATTCATTTAAATAAAGCGCATATGTTATATTATATACTCGAAGCGCTGTACATTATAAAAATCTAAATATATTAAGAATTAAATATGCTATATAAAACATGGTATTGTATACAATTAGAATATACATTAATGTATGTATCTATAATAAGAATGATAAAATCCAATATGGTCTCAATCTATAAAGGGTTATAAGCCTTATTGAAAAGAAATGTTTTCAAGCGTTTCTTAAACACCGAAATGTTTTCACAGTTCCTGACATCCAGAGGCAGAGAATTCCATAATTGTGGAGCAGCATGTGCGAAAGCCCGATCTCCTAGAGTCTTACAGTTTGTTTTCGGGATGTATAGTAGACCTTGACCATCCGTTCGTAATGTCCAGCGATCACTTGATTGTTTTGGAATAAGCATTTCAGAGATATAGATAGGGGCAATGTTATGAAGAGCCTTGTAAACCAGTAAAGCAATTTTGAATTCCACCCGGAATTTTACCGGTAGCCAGTGAAGTGATCTCAAAACTGGGGTGATGTGAGAAAATCTTGGACAGTGGTAGATTAGTCTAGCAGCGGCATTAAGAACTCTCTGCATTCGCTGGACTTGATACTGAGGTATGCCAGCCAACAGAGCATTACAATAGTCCACGTGTGATGTCACGAAAGCATGTATCAAAGTTTTCGTTGTATTAGTAGATAAAAATTTTCTAATTTGTCGTATTTTATAAAGTCCTCTGAATGTTTACTGCACATCTTGCCTACATGAACTGACATTGACATATGCTTGTCAAACCAAGATCCCAAATTTCGAACACTGTCAACCGGCTTAATTTGGACCCCACCAAAGAGTATTTGAAACACTTTTCCTGTGTGACAGGAAATTAAAGTAAAAGTTTGAACAAAAGTTTCTTTTTGGAGGGTTTCCATCGGTTATGAAGTTCAATTTCATGTTCTTTGTCGTAAATTTTTAAAAATCCTTGATATGTTGTTTATGCTCATATGAGGTCATGTGGAGTGGGTCATGCTTCAGTTATCCTATTGTCCAAATCCTGCTTATGCAACCTACGTCAGGCAATACTATTTATTGTTATGGCGTGTTTTATAGCAACACAGTGTTTTATGGAATGCTGACGCTTATTTACATCAATTCACATGTTTGGTAAAGTGACATGCCTAGATACCTTTGATTCAGTTGAAAGAAGCGTGATTACCAAGCATTATCTTTGTTTTGTATAAACCTAGAACAATCTATTATATCTATAGCAACCACGCATATACAAACTCTTTAGTTGAAGTTACGAAGCAACTTGCAGCAAAATCTGATTTCAATAAATGTTAATTGAAAATGTTTACAAATAAGTTACCGGACAATTTACATTGACAATTTACTAATTAACATTGAAATCAGATTTTGTTGCAAGTTTGAGCAATTTTGTAACTCCTAATACTTCACGTTAATTGAGTGGCAGCGGTGTAAACAATTTTGTCTTGCTGGCGTTGGTGTTTTCTTCCACTTCGATGCCTGTAAAAAGCTCTTTCCCGTTTGTCTGAATGAAGGGGTGAATTGTTCTTCTCGTAAAGAAACGTAGTTTTTTCTCAAAAAACAAAACAATTATCACCATGCAAATCTTTAAAAAACGTATTATAAACGTGTCGTGCAATTATTGCAATACAGTTTATTTTGTTGTTTAGTTGCAAGATTTCAGCATGTCGGTCGCAAGTTTCTGCGTCTTGGCATGAATAAGGAGCTGAAACAAATGACAGAATTTTGTCAGGTTAGTGCGCATGTCATTGGTACATCACGTGACCAAATATATGCATGTCACATCACGTGATGTAATAGTTTGTGTCCGTGCCAAACGCATGTAAATCGGTTCCACTATCATGTAACAAGATGGAGAAATTCTTCTTATTATATGTAGTAATCTTGTATTGGCTAGCAAAACTATATACATCTATCTCTAGAAAATAATGAAGTTTTTTGTTGAATTGTGCACCGTGACTTATTTCAATACAGCGAAGCGGGATCATAAAAACAGCCCCTTATTCAGCAAATTGCGCATGCTGCCGTTGATCCCTTGGGGTGAGGCAGCACTTTCCTTGCAATAGTAACTTCTAGTTACATGTAGTAATCTTGTATTTGCTAGCAAATGAATAGAATTAAGATATATATGGGCTATTCTCTTACGTACCTCCAATACTTTCGTGACGAAACCATTGGGTGCAACAAGCGGCAAAGTAGAACAAGTAGCATTTATTTCAGTAATAAGTTTACGTGGTGTTTCCACAAACAAAAAGTATTATGTTTTTAATATCGCCATGCAAACCTACAAAGAACTCAAGCAGCAAAGTCTAGTTATAATGTTGGGGTCAGATGTCAATTGGGCCGGAAGTCCTGTTCCTTTCCTCAGTCACACTACACAGAAGGCCATCTCCAATGTTTTTTGCGTAAGCGCTATTCGTCATGATTCGTCACTCAGCAAGTACCCTAAACAGAAGTAGTCACCCCCCTGGAAATATCCAAAATGGCACTATGTGAGAGAAAGCCATGGAAATTTCCAGGGGAGGGGGGGGGGCTACTTTGTTTAGGGTACTTGTTGAATGACGAATCATGACGAATAGCGCTTACGCAAAAAGCAATGGAGATGGCCTTCTGTGTAGTATTCTGGGGGGGGGGGGCTACTTTTCGTGGGGGGCTACTTTGTTTAGGGTACTTGTTGAATGACGAATCATGACGAATAGCGCTTACGCAAAAAGCAATGGAGATGGTCTTCTGTGTAGTATTCTGTGCTCGTGTCCTCTGTTTATTGTAGATGAATGCGTAATGATTGTATTGTGACAAATGATTAAAAAAAAGTATAAACGTTTCTGACGTTGATCACCATCTGCTGCCTTAAGCCGGTTCTCCACTTCGCCCGTATCGTAGCGAAACGTACTGGTGAGCATGCGCAGATTGAAAAGAGGTTTATAAATCCACGTACTTCCGGGTGTATTCGCGTGTCAAAATAAAAAGTTCGTCGCAAGTCAACTTTTTGACGTACGACGGAAGTACTGACCAATCAACATTCACGAAATTTTGAAATTTAAAAACGTTTTTGATACGTTTCGGTACGGTGCACTTGAAATGAAAAACCGGCTTTATAAGGCTAAGACCCCCGCTACTGACTTCCCGACAAAGGGCCCTTGCTCGAAACGCCTTGTATTTTCTAGGTAATTGTATCCCTATCAATCGAGGCCCCTCGAGTTAAGCCCTTTTCGACTTAACTCGAAGAACGAAACACACAACTTGGAAAGTTCGAGTTAATTTAAGCCCCGAGAAAAAAGAGGGGTTTAACTCGAAGTCATTAAAAATATTCGACGCTCGAGTTAAGCCCCGACATTTGAGGCATGTAAAAGAGCAATGATTTGAGTCGCCCACAATCTAGCTGGAAATAGTTATCATACGTCCCGGCTTAAAATTGCCTACTAGCTTTTATACCTCTGTGCTTATTACGAATAAATTGACCTTTTACGCGAAATAAATCCGCGAGGTCAATTTATTCGTTATAAGCTCAGAGGTATAAAAGCTTGTCCAAAATAATCTGTTACTTAATGGAACTTGACTGTTCATACGAGTTGTTCGTGACTAAGGCAATTTTAAGCCGAGACATATGATAACTATTTCCAGCTAGATTGTGGACGACTCGGATCATTCTTCTTTTACATGCCTCAAATGTCGGGGCTTAACTCGAGCGTCGAATATTTTTAATGGCTTCATGTTACGGCCACTATTTGTTGTATATTAGTTTCTCATCCCCGCCCGCATGCTTTTTAAGAAAATGGTCTTGTTCGCCATTATTGCCATTTTTGACCATTATTATAAATTTTGTGATGTCTTCAAATTATATTTGAAAGAAAGACAATTAGAAACGTTCCCAAACCAAACGTTTTAGTTAAGATACGAAATTGCATACCAAAACTGCCAGTTTCTCTCGCGTTTACGTAAAAATTCTACCGGAAAAAAGGGGCAGGGTCGCAGGGAAAAAAACGCGAGACGACTTGGCTACAAAATTATTTCTCTATCCTGTGATTATTTCACATGTGGTCATGTGGAGCGGTTAGGAAAACATTTTATGAAAACATGGTTTCAGTGGCCCTCACTAATTTTGTGCTGTTTTACAATGCTATAAATGCTAAATGCACACTTTTTCAAAGTAATGTTTACGGAGAGGGGAAATCCGGCAAATAATGGCATAATGGTAATGGCCGCCCACCCGCATCAACTGTAGGTGAAGCCCCGGATGAGAAACTAATATGCAACAAAAAGTGGCCTAAGCCCCTCTTTTTTCACGGGGCTTAACTCGAACTTAACTCGAAGTTGTGTTTCTTTCTTCGAGTTAAGCCCTTGACGAAAATGTGTGTGGTTTCGGCGTGGTCGGGATTAACTCGAAAAGGGCTTAACTCGAAGGGCTTAACTCGAAGGGCTTAACTCGAAGGGCTTAACTCGAAGGGCTTAACTCGAAGATTACCTACACCCTGTCAATCCGTATATAGCTTGATACCCACTGTAATAATGTATGACTAGACAAAGATTTGAGTTTTTGTTGCATGCCATATATGGCATGCAACTTGCATATAGCTCTAAATTTCGTGTCGCGGTCGGTGAGCGGTGAGTGGTGAGCGTACCAGTCATGTGGCAGATTCGTAAAATACGACAAATACCGAGTTTTTCCGACGAGCGTTTTCATGCCGCTAGAATGCCGGGTTTTCGTCGAAGAAACGCAAAGAAATATTGATTATTTGCCGAAAATTTACATAATTGAGCGCTTCAGAAAAATAAATCGAGGTAGGTAAAGCTTTACTGTTTTTAGCTTACCTTGTATTCTGTTATTTGTTGCGATTTTGGAGCCGTTGTGCTCGCACTGATTAGTGATTATTTATCAATTTTCAAGCGTTTGTATTGGGCCATTCCATGTAATATAGGCACCCCCCTATTGAGGGGTCTGGATATCCTATGGGGGGGGAGGAGGGGGTTTTTACCTTAAAATTTCCTAGAGGGTAGCTTAAGAAATTTTCCAAAAAATAGCAAAAATTAGGTGTTTTAGTGATATCCAAGGGGGGTAAAAACGATATCCTAAAGGGGGTATAAAGAAATCCATGGGGTAACTTCCAAAAATCGCATCCAAGGGGGTTCTAAATTTTTTATATCCTAAGGGGGTTATGAAGGGACCCCTCGATAGGGGGGGGGGGGGCTATATTAAATGGAATGGTGCATTTATATATCGTGAAAGACACGAACGCTATCAAAATACTCGATTTTTATATACTCAAACTGAAACGGAGCCATTGTGCTCGCACTGATTATATTGTGTGCAAAGCTTCAAAACTACAGCACATTTTGTAAATAACATGATATACAAACAAAATTTATACACACTATTGAAATTTAATACAACGAAATAGCAACCATTGTGAAGTACGCATAAGATTCAACATGACATTCGATGTAGTGTAAATTAACTCATTTCTATCACTCAAACGTCAAAATGATAAATAATAATCATTTTCAATCTATTATAGTAATTCACCGTTTTCACGTTTTTTTATACCTTTAAAAAGTTACAATAAAGCTAAATCTAAAGGAAATAACGTTATTTAGTTATAAATTTGATAAAACCTTGACCTACCCTGTCCTTGTTATTGTTATTATTACCGTCGCTTGCAACTAACTATTAACGGTCGCTTATAAAAACATTGCCTGTATGCGTGTTTCTGCTGGGGTCTACACCGTAGGCTAATTCGCGTGAGAATCTTAAGTTTTCTTATTTTGGCATAATAGCTATTTTTCAATAAATATATTGATATATTAAACTTATTGAATCAATATTTTAGTTTCACGACAGTTGTACCAAAGATTTATATAAGCGCTATAGCGCATCGTAAGTTTCAGATGGTATGCAACATGTACGCACTGCGTACCTATTTTTTACATCCTTGACCTTTCTCTTTGTTTAGAAAATCGTTGTTCTTCCAAAGTTCATTTCTGAGAAAGATATTATTTTGAAATTTTTTGATCAACTTGGCACAGATGTCGCTCACTCTGAGGCTTACCTGGAAGAGTGAGTCCGCCTCTTCTTAATTTACACGAAATATCTGGAAAATAACCCCATTATCTGAGGATGTGAATATTTCTCATGAAACTCTCAATTTGTAGATCTCAAAAAGGAGAACAGAGCAAGGAACAGAACGACAGAGTACCGCGTAAGTTTTACCAAAATATTGCGATGTTTGTGAATAAAACACTCCAGCGTTGGAGAAAATTAATAAAGAGTAATACCAGTTACATCGGACCCCCAGATATCTGATGCGTACTGTACGGTCAAGAAGGTATGAAATATTTATGTTAGGATGTTAGGGTTTGTAATCCAAGTGAGAATATATACATTTTAAGACCTAACCAGGAACGACTGCGAAAAATGCAGCACAAGGTTCTCTGGTAGGAATTGAACCTACGGCCCTGCGATTCCGGTGCAGCGCTCTATTCCACCAAGTGAAGTGCAAGAATCTAAGTCATTCAAGTCCACCTTATCACAACCCGCACACCCGATTACCTATATATACATGAACTTACGGTTACAGCTCAACAGCTGGCCTCTGTAGCTCGGTTAGAGCGCTGCCCCGGAATCGCAGGGCCGTAGGTTCAATTCCTACCAGAGGACCTTGTGCTGTATTTTTCGCAGTCGTTCCTGGTTAGGTCTTAAAATGTATATATTCTCACTTGGATTACAAACCTTAACATCCTAATATTAATTCCACCAAGTGAAGTGCAAGAATCTAAGTCATTGAAATATTTATGATGCTTTGCAGTAGTCCTGCAAGAGGTTGGATGTATATAGATAGGTTTCACTATCATGTCTGAGATTTTCTAGATGAATTTTGTTCCACATTTTCATCCGTTTTTATTATCGCATCTACATTCAGTTGGGCCTAAAAAAATACCTGTGGATCCGGTTCCCGACCGATCCTATTTTTTCTGCCGACCCTATTATTTTTTCAACGCGATTGACCGTGCAACCCTATTTTCTCCGGGTGGTTGCGGGCTGCTCATACAGCGTGGCAAAATGTCGTCTGTTGTCACACTAATTATTGAACCAATTAAATTGCCTAAATTTGTTCATAGGAAATAATAATTTAGTTAATATTGATGTCGGGACTCTGCTGCAAATCGCCAAGCAAAAAACCGCCAAAACCATGAAAAAAAAATTCAAAAAAAAATTATTTTCGACCTACCGACCCTAACCCTAGACCTACCGATGCCCAAAATATTCACTGTTACTAGAGGTGCTCCACCAGCGCTTATCACATTGGCAAAGTTGACCATCTTCTGCCCCATAATGCTAACTGAAGCCTCTCTGTATATTACTATTGTATACTCATTTCTTCACGTTTGTGTTTGGATCTTGCTGCTTATTTAATCTCGTACAATTTCAGCTCAAGCTGGTACAGACAGTTGTGGTGATATGGGGCAAGATAATATGGACCAATATAGATCTATAGCAGAGTTTGACGCTGTGGGGACTGGGGAACTGTCTGTTGTGGAAGGAGAAATTGTCACTGTCATTGAGAAGAATACTTCGGGTAAGTGATGCTTTATAGAAACTGTCGCGTGGCATTTATACACGCAGATCATCTGTATAAGGATGAAGTACGCCAGTCAGTTTAATTAAATGTTTATTTTCTTTCCAAGGCTGGTGGCTGGTCTCCAACCAATCAGGCCACACTGGTTTCACTCCAGCGACATTTCTAGAACCCGTGGAAGAGAAGACGAACACTGGCGAATGGCATATAGTCTCTGGACCTGATAGTATGTGTAGCTTTGAACTTTGCTTTTTATTACTCTACTTTTTAGTAGATAGTAGTGCATGTGTCATTCGTGACTCTGATTCCTGCAATTTACAGTTGTCATATTGTAATTTCGCCTCAGTCCCTCTGGCTGCTTCCAGTTTGACTCTACCAAACACCCCGGTTCCCTTCTGTAGGATCACTTGACCAATGAGGTATCTCATTACTGGACCTCTATATAAAACAGTTTAGAACCGGTATATAGGGAATAGTTCTAACCGCACTATACTATACACTCAGATATGTACACGGCAGTAAAAGACTACGAAGCACAATGTGAAGATGAAATTAGCTTCAGATTTGGAGAAGAGATGGAAGTTCTTGCCATGAGTAATTTTGGATGGTGGCAAGTTAGGTATGAGAATTGGTATAAAATATTTAACAGTTATTCTACGAACTCGAGTCGAATATGAGCTGATAGCCGATGAGGCGCGTAGCGCCGAATCGGCTATCGCTCATATTCGACGAGAGTGAGTGGAATAACTGTTTTATTATATACACAAGGTCTGAATTCACAGACTTTGCTATTCGGATATTTTCAATATTTTTCTATTTTGTTTATGTTTTTATCTTCGCTCTTTCGGCCTATTATTTTTTCAAAAATATATATTTTTAACCATTTTAAATTTTAAAAATTTATTTGCTAACCTGAAAACAATTCGTGGGAGTTTTTTCATTGTGTTTTTAATCCTGTGAAGGCTATAAAAAGCGACAACTTGCCGTTTTCTCGTTTGCAAAACATCGTCAATTCAGTTTGGCCGCCATTTTGTTTTTCTCTACTAGCAGGATATGAGCTAATATCCTGCTAGTAGAGAACCAATCAGATTGCAGAATACCTCATATCCAGACCTTGTGTATATAATAAAAAATCATATTCAGTAAACACAGCAATTGATAATGACCAACTACAGGAATGTTGACATGCTTTCAAATACAAGACTAGTACATATAATGAAAAGAATTGACATTATTTTCTCACTCTGATAACTGCAGGTTGATCACCATCTGCTGCACGATAATGCTTAGTGAAACCCAGCTATAACATAGAGAATAGACAATTCCTATTATATAGACTAATTTTAAAACTAGGCAAGGAGATGCAAATAAATCACCACAGCTAATGTTGTAAAATATAGCCTTGCAAAGTTTGCAAATTTTGTATGGTACCAATTTCCGCACGCAATACAAAAGTACATTTGGGCCGAAAATGGTAGCAATTTCCCAACATGAACTCCACCTTTGAATTTACTATACTGAGTAAATTCTTAAACACGTCCTAATTTATCATTATGATAAATAGTTTAAAAAAGTTTTAAAAGAGTTTTAAAAAGCAAGAAAAGTTTAAAAAGTTAGATTTTCAAAAAAGTTTAAAAAGTTAGGGTTAGGGGTTGGGGTTAGGGTTAGTGTTAGGTGCCGCGAATTTATTATTATGATAAATTCAAAATGTGCCGCGAATTTATCATAATAATAAATTCGGACGTGTTTAATTAAGAATTTACTCGTATAGTAAATTCAAAGGTGGAGCTCATGCTGCAATTTCCACACGCAATACAATAGTATACAAAATTTGCGCGGAAGTTTGCAAGGCTATATTTTCCGCATTTTACAACATTTCGCAACGAAACTTTGCAATTTTATTCATTTTAGTGTGCTCTTTCTAGCTGTAGTGATTTATTTGCATCTCCTTGCCTGCATAGTTTTAAAATTAGTCTATAATGGGAATTGTCTATATTGTTCTATTGATTTTTTCTCTCTTATAGATGTAACGACCAGGTTGGGCTGTGTCCTGCATCAAGTCTGACGATTAGGCTAGCTTCTTCGTATTATGAAGTACGATGGTTATTTTGCGTTCTTAACACGTGTTCTCATTGTTGTCGACGTCCTTTATCTTGTACCTTTATCTTCCTAGGATCCGATGATCGAGTATCGGAAATCAATTTTAAAATATTCTACAAAAGGTTCACAAAGAGAGGCGCCGCCAAGAACGTAAGATTAATATTTCTTGGAATTGCAGAGTATTGATACATGTGTTTCAGGAAACTGTACAAGCCAGCCGATGATCAATGGACCTATTCCCTAATGAACAAAATTTTGATCTAGACAAATCTAGACAGAAATTTCATCACAGCTTGAAAGAGCATCACAAAATTAGTAATATTCCGAAGTTTCGTTGCGAAATGTTGTAAAATGTGGATAATATAGCACTGCCGTTTTTCAGTCATTTTCTATTACGCACAATTGATACCGCTTTCTGAAAAAAAGGTATATCAATTTCCTGTGTGTATAACACAAAATGACTGAAAAACCGCACACTTCGCAGGGCTATATTATCCGCATTTTACAACATTTCGCAACGAAACTTCGGATTATTACTAATTTTGTGATGCTCTTTCAAGTTGTGATGAAATTTTTGTCTAGACTTGTCTAGATCAAAATTTTGTTCATTAGCCATTAGTGATTAGGGAATAGGTGACACTTATGAAGCTATGACAAGTTTTTTGCTTTCTTACACAAGCGCTGTGATGCAAAATGTCAGCAAAAAGTTATACCGATTTTTGGGTGACCTCTGTGTTGACAGGATTACAGAAACATTGCTTAATTGAGTCAGGTCCCTCAAACATTTCTTAAATATTCTTCAAAACATGGAATTTACTAATTCCTGCTTATGTGATTGCAGGGACTATGATAGTGTAAACCATTCTTCAAAAACATTATTTTCCTGATAACTGCAAGTTGACAACCGTCTGATGCAGAATACTAGAGACCTTACGATTTTAGGACGGCAACGCGATGGCAACGGCTACCAATACAATAGATCATTGAAAAGAATTGAGTAATTACAATATATGAATAATTTAGACATTGTCCCCGCTCTGTTTACAACGCTAAATCACAGATTTTCACGTCTTGATAAAACGGCTGCATTCCAAGCCGCAACAAGTCCAACTTCAAACTGGGTTCAGGAGAACTCTTCCCAAACATTATAATTCGTATGAATTTAATACAGTATAAGAAGTTGAAAACATGGGCTTTATGTTTGGGAAGAGTTCTACTGAACCGAATTTTAAGTTGCACTTGTTACGGTTTGAAATGAAAGACGTGAAAATCTGTGATTTGCTGCTGTAAACAGAGCGACGACTAAACTTCCCCGCGACTTTAATTTTTATTTCTTTTCATTGACTCATTGTATTGGTTGCCATCGTCGTCGTGTTGTTATCCTACATGCTTAAAGTTCCCTATTGACTCTTGAATGACTCGTATATTTGTTTAACAGAGGTTCCTCAAAAAGTTGTGACAGTCAGTCAAGTAGCGACGGTAAGAATACCTTGATATGCATTATTTAATGTATAATGACGGTATTGTGAACATTCAAAGAAACTTTACGAGCTAAAATATATTTCAGGTAGTTTTTATGGCAATGCACAACAACCAGAAAGATTTTGCCCCCCATACAGGTAATGGCTAAAGGCATTCTAGGTTTATTTTATACTTTATATAAATTATATTCCAAAATTATAACAAAGCAATAACATGAGGTTGTTTATCTCTTGTTTTACACAGTTCTGCGAAGTACACGAAAATTATTCCGAAACATTTGAGGTGAGAGAGGCACTTCTTCTTTAATAACGTTTAACAAACGAATAGTGTTCACAGCATCGATATCTTATATACACTAGATAGCGCATCTCTTTTAGTAAAATTGAAGCCAAGAATATTCCAGCGGTTACCCCCATTTGAATAGATGGCGGCCATGTTGGTAGTTTCCACTCGCTAATAAACGCTTAAAAAACAACAATAACTTTCATCATTTGAATAGTTTAAAAATGTATTTGGAACATGTTTAACTTAATGTTTAAGTTGCCTGTTTAAGAAATAGAAAACATACGAGTCTTCTCATTTCATGGGAATATCCTGCATGAGCCTCCAATCACGGCTTCAATTTTCGAATTGCAAAAAGATTAGATGCACTATCTAGTGTATATAAGATATCTATGTTTCACAGTCGTCGGAACAGGCGCCTTTCACCTCTGGGTTGGATTCTCGCTACGGACTCATGTGAAAAGAATCAGTCAACGCTCTGGCGAAAGTCGTGGGTCTTCTCCGTATGCTACGGTTTCCTCCCACAGGAAAAGTTGACAGGGTGGGTTAGGATAAAAACACAGTTGAGAAAGTAATATCACAATTGTTGTAAAGATAAAATAGTCTATAGGCTAACGATCTAATACCCACCGGGCACACGACGTTGTTTCAACGTTGAAATTTGGTAGAAAAAAGGTTGCGACGTCGACAACCTAATATCTACGTTGCTCTGACGTTGTTTTGCAAACATTGGTTCAACAGCAGCCAACAGACGTTGAATTAACGTTCGTTCATGGTTAAATGTACGACGTCGATTTGTGAACCAATCTCAACGTTGTTTTAACGTGGATTCAACGTTGAATTATGGTTGACGAGATTGGCAACCTAATTTCAACGTTGTTTCAACGTCAACCCATTTTCAACGTCTATCCAACGTCTGGAAGGTCTTTTCCAACGTTGATTCAACGTTGGATAAACGTCATTTTGCCCGCTGGGTAGACCTTTCCCCTTTTAAGTGAAATTTTGATCTAGACTAGCCTGGACAAAAATTTCATCACAGCTTGAAAGAGCATCACAAAATTAGTAATATTCCGAAGTTTCGTTACGCATGGGAAATTGATAATCAGTTTGATCATCTGATTGCCAATTTCCCGTTTGTAATGCAAAATGACTGAAAAACGGCAATCTTCGCAAGGCCATATTATCCGCATTTTATAACATTTCGCAACGAAACTTTGGAATATTACTAATTTTGTGATGCTCTTTCAAGCTGTGATGAAATTTTTGTCCAGACTTGTCTGGATCAAAATTTCACTTAAAAGGGGAAAGGTTTATTATAGGTAGCCGTAATACTTGTCAATGATGTACAGCGCATTTGATCATATATCCGCATGTAAATGTGCGCTGCAGAAATGCTATCGCAATTCAGTGACGATCCACTGATCAGAATGTTCCAAAAATCCCAGGCCATCTAACCACTCAGGGATATTGGTAACGTATAATATTAAGAGGCAATTTTTTTCAATGTCACGTATTTGCAATGAAAAGTGTTCAAAATCTAAAATCTTTTTGGCGTTCCTCTCAAAACTGATTACTTTGTTTTAGCTTTAGCTACCTTTTTAAATGCATCTGCTGGTTGGGAAACATAAAATAATAGTTAAAAATTGTCAACTAATATACAATTATCAATGATGCTTTAAAATTGACGCTGCATAAATACAGCCACATAAGCAAAACGTACTGAACTTCAGACATCATTTTCTCTTTGGTGTATCATCTAAAATCTCTTTATTTTAGTATTATTTTACAGATAAAGCACTAAACATACTTTTTAAGTTTGTTTGCCGATTGAGAAACGTATCGAAAAATAAAAATTTTGAATTTAGTCATAACCTCAAGTGGTATATTATACGCATTAGTTTTGAGCGCGTGTTACGTAACATACAAAAAAACTCCTCTTAATCAATCTCATATTTTTACTTCAGATATGAAGAACCAAACAACAACAACAACGACAAGGTACTTTTTACAAATTTTTTGTCAGTGAGTTCAAACGTTGAACCCTTTATGTGCCGCACCTCGTCCGCACCGGACGCCGATGCGCTCAAACTTTAAGCACGATAAACGCGACCTGAAGCTATCTTTAATTGTAGATAAATTATGTCAATATTCCTGTCATAAAGAATGGAACACCTCACTATGAAGAAGGTCAGGAATCTGAGGTAAAGCTAGTCATCTGCAATCAGGTGTTATATTATTGTGGGGCAATTGCTAGATAGTATACTTCAAAACTGATAAGATTTCCATTTTTATATCAATTTTTAAAATAAGTTAGGGTTAGGTTAGGGTTAGGTTGCATGGGTTAGGGTAAGGGTTAGTATTAGGGTTAGTATTAGGGTTAGGGTTCAGTTTTGCGTTAGGATAGTTTTTTCTACGTTATAACTGAAAACGGAAACCTTATTTTGAAGTATACTATCTAGCGATCACCATTATTGTGGTGTTTCCTGCTGGTGTTTCAGTAAGATGGCAGCAGATGATGGTCTGCTTCACATGGAATGTTGGCAGGAACAAGACGGTTAAGGCCTACACCATAGATATCTTATATACACTAGATAGCGCATCTCTATTAGTAAAATTGAAGAAGAATATTCAAGCGGTTACCCCCATTTGAATAGATGGCGGCCATGTTGGTCGTTCCCACTCGCTAATAAACGCTTAAAAATAACAATAACTTTCATCATTTGAATAGTTTAAAAATGTATTTGGAATAGGTTTTACTTAATGTTTAAGTTGCCTGTTTAAGAAATAGAAAACATACGAATCTTTTCATTTCATGGGAATATCCTGAGTCTGCAATCACGGCTTCAATTTTTGAATTGCAGAATAACTATAGACCGGACGCGAGTCGGCAACGCGACGCGAATTTTCAGTTTTCAAAAACAAATAAAACCGTCAATGGATAAAAATGTTACATGATATGCATTCCAAATAGCTAAAATTGCTTAAATGGTTCCGAATATTTGAAAAACATTGAAGAATATTAAAGTTACTGTAAATGTCATTGAAAGCTGAAAATTCGCGTCGCGTCGCCAAATTGCGTCCGGTCTGTATGGGCCTTTAAACTACATCTCTCACTAGGCAATTCCAGCTATAGACTAAATTTTGATCTAGGCTAGAAGAACAAAATTCATCACCACAGCTAGAAAGAACATGTTAAAATGAGTAAAATTGCAAAGTTTGGCCGCGAAATGTTGTAAAGTGCGGGAAATATAGCCCTGCGAAATCTGCAAATTTTGTATTAATTTGTATTACGCGCGGGAAAATGCACCACATTTGGGCCGAAAGTGGTGCATTTTCCCGTGCGTAATATACAATTTATGGTTTCCGTGTGTGGATGGCCTGATCCAAACACGCGGGAATGTTGCGAGAGTTAAGAAAAGCGCGCGAAATACGAGCCGAAGGCGAGAGTGATTTTGCGCGCTTTTCTTAACTCGAGTAACTTTCCCAAGTGTTTGGATCAGGCCATCCAAGCACGGAAACCATAAAGTAATTGTTTTATAAAATAACAACAAAGTTTAAAATTCCCGCAAAGGCACTTTCAATTTCCGTGTTTGCATGGATGGCCTGATCCAAACACGGGTTTCGACCAATCAGAGCACGCGTTATATACATGTTATTCTATAATACAAAATTTGCAAATTTCGCAGGGCTATATTTTCCGCATTTTACAACATTTCGCGGCCAAACTTTGCAATTTTACTAATTTTAACATGCTCTTTCTAGCTGTGGTGATGGATTTTCTTCTTTTTGCCTAGAGCAAAATTAAGTCCATAGCTCGAATTATCCATTCCATTTTCGTGTATTTCTCACAAAATAAACTAGAACATATAACAAAAAAATGAACATTATTTTCTCACTCTGTAACTGCAAGTTGACCACAATTGAATAAGCAACCTAAGTTCGATGTGAATTATTTCAGGCTATAAACGTTCATGTCCTGCGAAGAGACTATCAGGAGAACGGTTTCTCTCTTCGTAAAGGCGACACGGTTCAAGTGATGGCTGTCATGCCCGATGGCTGTTTCTGGAAGGTTGCCACATTAACCCGACCATTCAAAGAAGGACTGATACCCTCTGATCTGCTCTGTCCTGAACTACCTCGACAGATAGAGGCCATTACAGTACCTAGCAGTACAGCTGGGATTGTAGAATGTACAGTTACGGATGGCATAGAACCTTTGAAAGTCTTGCCAAGATTCACTGCACCTCCTTCAGTACGAAAACCCGTCCCAGCTCCCAGGAGTAACCCGCCCAAGTCACCTACAGGTACGTTCTTAATGTTCATTGGTTAAGATATGTGTTATTCCGTAAAGACTACCTTTTATTATGTGGACAATGGTGTTTTAGTGGAAACTAAAACACTCGTAGAACTCATACGTCACTACATCCGGGACCAGATGCGCGTATTTTCCATATTTCACCCCTGCGAGTGACATACGAAGTTCGAAAATTTCCTGCCATTTTCATTGTTGTTGTTTGGAAAATACAAATGGTCTTTGGTTCGTATAATAAACAGGACATTAAACGGTTGCGAGGAGATATGGATTTATGTTCTCGTGTCAAAAACAATATCTCACTCGTGAGATATTGTTTTTGCCACTCGAATAAAAAATCTATATCTTCTCGCAACCGTTTAATATCCTCTATACTATATAATACCTACACTTTTGAGATATTTGAGTAGATGTATTATTAATACAGACACATCTTACTGTATTTAATTTCAGTTTCACCGAAAGGAGTAAATTCAGTTGTAGCCTTGGTCGACTACAATCCAGGCCAGACTGACTTACTGTCGTTTCAAAAAGGCGACGTTGGACGTCTGGTAAAGAAGGCGGAGACAGGATGGTGGTTTATTGAACTGAAGGGATTCGAAGGATGGGTGCCCGTTGTATACTGGGAAGAATGCAAGGTATTGAAAGTGTTTTGTTCAAAGTATACGACGATTGCAGTGGTCGTCAACTTTAGAAATGGCAATATAAATTTTTATTTTCTCATTTGAAAGAACTTTTGAAACTATTTAATAACTTCTTTTACCGATTCTTCATATCTTGCTTAGTTCTTGAAATATTTTGACTTGAAGTAATGAGATGTCAGCCATCTTGGATAAATTTTTGATCTCATTAACGGTAGTTTTCGTGACGTCACAACAGGGACTAACCGTATACAAATATTCGTTGCTAACAAAATATTGATTTGTAGATGTTTTAAAGGTTTTGAGTGATCTTGATATTTCCATTGGAATACAGAGTATTATTTTGAGTGCAAAATGATTAGTGGTTGTCTAGATAGAAATATTCCGTGACCCCTGTTGTGACGTAACATGCATATCTACAAAAATCCAAGATGGCAGAGATTTCATTTCTTTCGATTAAAATATTTGTGGAAGTAAGCAAGATATAAAAAACCGGAAAAAGAGTTTTATACATGGTTTTAAATGTTCTTTCAAACGAGAAAATAAAAAATATATTGCCATTTCCCTTTAATTTAAAGGAACACCAAATTAAACTACACCTCTCAATAGACAATTCCCATTATAGACTAATTTTAAAACTAGGCAAGGAGATGCAAATAATTCACTACAGCTAGAAAGGGCATACTAAAATTAGTAAAATTACTAAGTTTGGTTGCGAAATGTTGTAAAATGAGGAAAATATAGCCTGGCAAAGTTCGCAAACTTTGTATACTTTTGTATTGCGTGCGGAAATTCCTACCACATTTGGGCCGAAAATGCTCGCACGCAATAGAAAAGTATACAAAATTTGCGAACTTTGCAAGGCTATATTTTTCGCATTTTACAACATTTCGCAACCAAACTTAGTAATTTTACTAACTTTAGTGTGCCCTTTCGAGCTGTGGTGATTTATTTGCATCTCCTCGCCCAGTTTTAAAATTAGTCTATATAATGGGAATTGTCTATTCTATTTATTTGCCACCAAATACGAGACTCTTACAGAGAATGAATGAATTCACAGAATGAAATCTCACTCTGACTGCCATAATTTATGTTGCATTGTTGCTTGAATCTTGATTTTATTTGTTTAAACAGGAAGGTCGTAATGGAAAAACGCCAGATATATCTTTACTAGGTAGGGAAAAACCTTGCATTCATAATCTTTGAGGTGAATGTGTTTTTCATATTTTAATATCATAATTCTCGCAGGATTAGGCAGGCAGTGGTTTTGTGGTAAAATGTCCAGGGAGCAATGTGAAGATCTATTTGGAAAGGTAATTATATCAAACCAGAGTGTCCAGTAAGGTGCTGACCAGAAATGTTAAACTGAATTTGTTGTGCGATCAAAATGGTAATATCTATTACTTATTGCTTATATTTTAGCGTGGCAAGCATTTGGATTTTATCATTAGAGAAAGTGTTCAAAGGGTAATTTTCTTTGTGAAGATTTTATGTTTTTTTTTCACAACTTTTTATTAAAAAACTTTTTTTGTTGGTAGGTTGGATCTTATGCTCTGTCTATCAAGTTTAACGACAAGTAAGAATTTGAAATAAACCATCTCCCATTTCTATTTATTTGCTTTCACATACAAAACTACTATACTTACTACCAACTTTATAAGATACCAATTTTCTAATATGATGCTTGTGATGTTACTCTGAGCGTATATCCAAACCGGGCAAGCTTGAAAAATATGCCTGGCCACGCGGTGGGAATCGAACCTACGACCTTGGAATACTAGACACCTATTCTCGTCCCCAGAGCCATTTTTACTCGGTCACTCTTTGAAAATTAGGCTCTGGGTAGACGACTATAAAGGGAGAGGTCGTCTGGGTAGACGACCAAAGGTCGTAGGTTCGATTCCCACCGTGGCCAGGCATATGTTTCAAGATTGCCCGGTGTGGATATACACCTCAGAGTAACATCACAAGCATCATATTCACCTGAGTACATTACACCAACACAGAAAAAATTAAATTTTCTAATACATGTTTATTTTATTTTTAGAATTCATCATTTTCCAATCGAGAAATCCGCATCAGGAAAGCTCCAGATTGGCAAACTAAGTTTTGATAAACTTTCAGAGATAGTGACACACTATAAAATACATCCGTTGTTTTATACTGACAACAGACAACCTGTTTCCGTCGGTAAACCTCTGTCAAGAACGTAGGATGTTGGCGCACTGAGCTCCATATATGTCTGGAGCGGGAAATCGAATCCAAGAAGTGAAGTCAAGATGGCGAAAATTGAAGAGCTATTGGACGTCAGTTTCAGTCATCGTGGCTTCACTTTTCTCGTAGGCTGAATGACTGAGGTTCGTGCTCCAGATGTATATAGAGTTCACTGAATTGGACATCTCTGAGGGTCTCCCAGGGCTTTCTAGGGAATAAAGAAAACCTTTGGAACAAGTGAGGGACCGGTCATAAAGTAAAAGGGGGGAGGTGGGCTGGGAAAATCATATATTTGGTGTCTGCACTTTTGGTAGCCCATCCCTTAATAGCTAGCTGCACGAACATTTGTAGCCCACCCTTAAATTGGTGCTGAAAAATTATGACCCACCCCTTTTCCAATTTTTTTAGACAACTTTTTTAGGTAAAGAAAATTTCCGGACGAGTAAGTTGCAATTGCTTTCCAAGGACTTTATCTTAATTTTCCATACCAAATTTCGGTACTTAGCCCAAAAAACAGATATCTTGTTCTTTGCGCGGAAATTTTTAACACAAAAAAAATGACTGGGGCCCAATCTTCTGCATATTTTTACATGGCCCACCCTTATGATTGCGCTTAACTTTCGATGACCCAGCCCTTCAACCGTGCTCAAAAATAGTGACCTACCCCCCTATTTTTCCCAGCCCACCCCCCTTTTACTTTATGACCGGTCCCTGAACACAGACCTCCTCCTTGGGAGACCCTCATCTCTAAGGCTTCCTCCACACCAATCCGTTTTCGTATTGTAATTAGAATAAAGCAGGTAATTAGAATAGAGCATTGTTTTCTATTCCTTGTAAACAGAATACAATACGAAAACGCTACAGATTAGTGTGGACGTAGCATAATATGGACAACGTAGGTGAAGGGACACAGTAAAGTATTCGTATTAGACATGTTTCATAGAAATACTAGATATAGATATAGAAATGGAACTCCTATCTCCACAAAATGGCGGACTCATAAGGGCACGGACGAAGTTATTTCGCTGGCCTCAGAGTGACAAAATGTAGGCCTGTTTCAAACGTCGCGCTTCTCATGTGCCGGCACATGAGAAGCGTGACGTTTGAAACAGGCCGTAACAAAACAACGGTTTTACTAACACTAACCCTATTTCAAACACCAACTCTAACCCTAATTCTTACCCTAACCCTAACCTAACCCTACTCCGAGTTTGTTTCTAAACCAATCTTGAAGAAAAAAGTTTTGACGAAATGTCAATGTGAGGTCAGCGAAATAATAACTTTTTCCTGGCGATCAATAACGCATTCTATATTTGTATGAGTTGTGTCTGTATTAGAGAGGTTTTGTAAAAGGAAAGCAATTATATCGGGACATTTTATTTCTCAAAAAAAGTTTACTTTAAAAACTTTTCGACACCAAGTTCCAGTTAAAGTCACCGCCCGCCTAGACGTTTTCCCTCTTTGCGACTTCATTTTCACTCTCGGTCAAACTCACATGTTGAAGTGAAAGTAATAAGAAAATGAGACAAATCTTATTTAAAATTATCTGCGATGAATGTTTCATTTGTAAGCATAAAAATCACTGTTAGACGCTGTAGTGAATTCGTTGAATTTTTACTGGAAATATTGTTGTGTTTTTAATGATGTAAATGTTCAAGATCCAGCATCTCAGAATGAACAGTCGCAGGCATGGTTTTTGTCTCACATGAAACTTTCATGTTGGTCAAGAGCATTTATTTAGTCTCCAATCATAAGCGCCCCTCTTTATTAGCCTCTTCTCTAATACCCGCCCTCGTTCTAGTCACTTCTTCAATAATTGCCCCTCTTTTTAGCCTGTTCCAGTAACCAACATTTTAAAGCCTGTTTTCTAACATAATTTATGCCACGACCTCTCCTCCGCAGAGGCTTCTGTTGGCTATGATTAGTATTGAGATACGTTTCACTGCACTTTACATGGCGGATCTTGGAACACGAGCGGAGCCGATGGGCGAAGGACCGCAGGCGCGAACCCTAACCCTTGTAATCATATGCGCGCTTTCCATTTAATGACCTGACCGGTCAGACCTGAATTCTTTTCTCTGTATCATTGGAAAGATCTGGTCTATGTTTCTCAAATATCAAGCGAAAATGGACCTCATTCTAATTTTATCTAAATTTTCCAGTCAAAAAGGTCCGAAGGCCAAACGTTTTCTGTTTCATTGGACAATTTGACCGGTCTGGCCGTGTTAATGGAAAGCGCCCAGCCTAGTCCCAGGCTCTCTCTATTCGCTGCTTTGATATATTTAAATAAGTCTTAAAAGTTTTATGCCTGGGTGTGCTGTGCGCAACGCAGCGGTGACGTCACACCTAGGTCCCAGTCTCGTACTACATCCACTTTTTTCTCGCGCTTGCTTCAGAACGACTGGGACTAGGCTGGAAAGCGCCCATAGCCCACTAAAGCCTCTGCGGAGGAGAGAGCCACGACTCTATCCAGCCTTCCCTCGAATAAGCGCCTTCTCCTTTAACAAGCCTTTACAAGCCTCACGATGATTGGTTGAGCCACGTGAGAATTTCCAAGGAAGTTCTGTGTTTCCACTAAGTGAGCAATCCAAGATGGCGGACGAAAGAGCAAAGGTAGACGTGTTACAATAGAAAATAAACTTGAAAATTATTGAACAATATTATGATTCATTTTTCTCATCTTTAGAACATTAACTAAACTATTGATATTTTTTCTAACTCTAGCTAGAGAATGTCTTAATTCGCTGTATTTCTGAAGTTAACAGTCCAAAACTAGAACGACGTAGAATTGTTTTTGAAGATTTACTGTATCCAAATATAAAACTGGAAGGTATTTAATAGAATTAATTTGAAATGAAGATTATTATTGAATAAGCGAAAACAACTATCTGTAAAGTTGAGCATTTGAATAAAGGATATTATTCAAGAATTTATTGGGTATTCTAATATACCATGTGGGCACATGTGCAATTAATTCTGTAGAATCCTCCCCCCCCCCCCCCCCCCCGCCATAGTTGTTCTATGCTGGACAGCGTTAATATGTACACTAGTTAAGGGAGTTTTCGAAACATTGTGTTTAGACCTTACTTAAAATACAAAATAACAGTAACTCTGAATAACATTTTGATTTTTAATTGACGTTTC